GTGAAGTGGTCCTTTATCCCTTTATTTAGAATTGTTTTCATTCTACATTATAGTCTTTTATTTCCTATTCTTTTAGAATAATTTTGTTTAAGACTAATTGAAAGTCAGGTCAATCACCAGAGCAGGTAAGTTGAAGTATAAATCTGGGATATGAGCAGTTTTAGATTTGGCATTGGTATTTTAGAATTATCTACCTAAATGTTCTTAATTGTGTTAGTTTACTTCAGGCAGGAACTGTTGTTTTTCAGTGCACAATCAGACATGGTGGTACTGCAGTGATGTTGGATGCATTCAGAAAGATTTAAGACAAAGCCCTTGAAAAGCAAAAGATATCTGATTTAGATTCATACCTTTTGAAGTAGCTACCATAATACTATAGTATTTCTTAAGTACTTTTGTCCCACTATCCTTGGAAATTCTATTCTTTGATCATAACAAGCTACATCTGCCATTCTTGCTCATGATCTTCACTGTCAACGTGACCTTGCAGAATTCTGCAAAACTCTTTCATCAGGCTCATAGTGACTGAACCTACTTGTCAAAGTTGATTATTTTTGATGAATGGATAAATGGCTATGACCCAGGTACCAGTAGAAGAGCCAGAAGAAGTAGAGACAGGTTAGTGGATCATGCTCTTCCCCCCCCCCTCCCTACTGGCAGGAATTAGCTTCCTCTTCCTCAAGTTGGAGGGTCATGGAGACCCAGCAGGAATTGCAAATAATGAATAGTGCTCTTACAGAACATTGCCTTTCCTGAACATAGCAGAAGATTGGGAGGTGTGTATCATAGCACTAGGTGAATACTCTAAGAAAGGTGGTCAAATTTAGATTTTAAAAAATGGGACATGGTCTCAGAACTTTTTGACTGGATTTTCTAATGGCTAAAGAATATGAAGAATAAGCTTTTACTCTATCTACATGTAAGGTTACCCAGTGTAAGGATATGATCCATCTTCAGACTTGATTTTGACCTCAATTTATAATCAGCAGAGCAACCTGCATTAGCTTAGCACCAGTGTTGTGAAAAAATAAGCTCAGGTATATTAGATTATAATCATGTTTTTAAATTTCTTTAGCCAAATATTTGAATTCTATTCTTATATAGGGGTAATGCAGACATTCATCTTTGTGGATATGGATATAATTAGCTGCTCTGATGTCCTATGAATATTTATTCTTTGAATACTTAATGAAATTGAATAATTTTTCCTTTAACTTTATTATTACTAAGATTTCTCTATGAAGTAAAAGCAACATGAAAATTAATTGTTGAAAAAAATACACAGATCTATGGATTAGCATCCCTCCCAGTACCTTGCTCATTGTTGTCATGGGGGCCTAGGAGATGGAGACTGAGGACCAATGTAGAGGATCAACCCTACTTTAGGCCTCGGCTCTCACCTCAACAAACTTTGCTTGGTCTTTTCTTTTCCCCCTTTCCTCATCTGTATCTTCTTCATCCCCTTCTTCTGTCCTATTCCTAAGGTGTGAGAGCTGTGCTAAAAGGATGAAAGGCTTTTTTTGATGTCAATCCTGAACGGCCTCCGGGAGCCGTGGGCACAGTATTCCCTTGGTTAATTGCCGAGACCTTACCCCTTCCCATGGGAACGCTGAGGTGTAGATTATTTCTTGTCCCCATTTTATTCAGGCTCATCATGGCCAGTAATGAAGATTCTTTACTCTTAGTAGGGGCATTAAGGCTTACCCCTTCATCAACTAGCCTATTTGAAGTGATTTTGATGGTTTTCCGACCCCTTTCCCTCCTTTAACCACAGATACTAATACTCCCTCCTCGATGTTTACTGACAACTCTATCCATTCCAAACCACCCACCCACCTCCATAATGCAACCCTTCCTCTTTCCCAACATTTTCTGTTCCACCTCTTACTGCACAGGCTTCTTCAGTGTCTACCCCTTCTTCTCTCATTCCTCTTCATTCTTATTATCCTCCCTCCCACAGAACTCCTCCGCTCCACACCACCCCACCTTCCTCTCGCTCTCATCCTTCTACTGCCTCTACCTCTGCAAACTTTTTGAGTACTCTCTTTGGCCTGGCCAAGTAGGATTGATTCTTTGTGATTCCCCCCACAGCCCTCTTGTCTGAAAATACCCTTCTCTTTCAACAGTGCCTCCAAAAATAGGTAGCCAAAGTTTCCTTTCGCAGTCCTTCCAATCGTTCATGCCTTGTCACAGTTACACCTGAATCTACCCTAACTGACCTTACTGGCAAACCCATTCCTGCCGAACCTCACCCCTCTCTTAAGCTGAAGAGTTGTCGGTACGGGTCACAAATTACAATTTTTTCAAACTTTGTGTGTGAATACATGAGGATGTGACGCACCCTGGGTGTCGGTTGCCAGATGCGTAACGCCCTCCTTTCTGCCATTTAAAGGTCTGTAGTATTTAAATGCCCTCGCGCAGCCACACCCCTTTTTGCTTCATGCTTTGTTTTTCTTGTATTTTCAACATTTTTTTGGCTGTTTTTGCAAATTTCTTTGGTATGATACTGGTGTACGATAGCCTGCCTGCCTGCGTTCAGCAGGCAGGCGGCAGCAGCAAGGACGGGAGAACAGTGCGATTGATAAAGTGGTCGGGAGTACATGTGTGTTGTTTCAATATGTCATTTATATATAAGAAATGCATAATATATGATTTATGATGTACTATGATATGTAAATGACAGGGAACCAGGAGCCTTGACATCTGAAAGTATACTTTTCAGAGAACACTCCCACCTAACCTAACCTAACCTTTACATAAAGATTACCTAAAATTAACTGAACAAGGCCTGACCCTCTACCACAGGACACCTATTAAAGGCCAAGGAATTGTCTAAGCAGATATTCACATTTGGTAATCATTGGTATGACCTTTATGGTGTAATGAATATGAATGACAAAAACTGCTGTTTTCTCAAAATCATATTTTCATGCATGATAGTAAGCATAACTTTGTATGTAATTACGCAATTTTAATAATGCTTGTTGCAAAATGATCTTCCAGTTCGTATCTACTAACTTTAGCAAAGTCATGCATTATTTCCACCAAATACATTTTTTACTGAAAAAATTAATGGCGATTTTCTGACGAAAAAAAGGCACTTTTTTGCAAGGTAACTGAAACATTGTCGTTTCAGATAGATTTACATAAATGCTACATTTGGTACTCCTATTTATTGACTAACTCTGGTCAGAAGAAAACTGCAGTACTATTCACTATAAGAAAACTATAGTTTTCGAATTCTATCATCTTGCTCTTTTTTTTTTTTTTTTTTTTTTTTTTTTTAGTGCAAAAATTTACACAGCTTTTTTCAATAAAATTTCTTGTGCTCAAGCATCACATATCCATGCACATTGTGTAAAATAATTAATGACCTAGCTAAAAAACTAAAGCAAGGAGGACCTGATAACGAATTTCGTGATCGTACGACTCTTCCCCTTAATACTTGTACTGTAATTCTTCTATTCCCCCAAATGTTTGTCCTATATACAACTAGAACTGGTCAGACTGAAAATGACTTACTTACCTGCCTTGCTGATTATGATGCAGTGGCAGTACAGTGCTACACTATTCCTCCCAGAAGGCAGCATTAGTCCCATGTCATTATTCCCAAGATTAGCTTTCATAGACATGACCTCCTCCATGAAGTTTATATTGGTGGATTGTCCTACCATATCGGACCATATTCACCACTTTTCCATTCTAAATCCAGATACTTCACTCTCTACCACTTCTCCGATGCCTACCCTTCCTCCCCCTCACTTTACCTGTTGTGCCAGACAACCTAAATGTTCTACCCCATCTTTACCTTTCACACCTTCTCCTACGCCCTCCTTTTCTTGAACATCTATCCTCTCTTCTCCTCCTCACAAGAGATGCTTTGTTTCTCAGACCTCCCCACCCGAAAACCCTCCAGAAACATTTGAAGACATCCGAAAATTCCTAGACATGACCCAAGAAAGTGTTCTGCTCCCTTATCCACCCTCCAGTCCCTCTATTCCTTGTCCCTCTACATTTAAAGTATTTGCTGATATCCATCCTCCCATGCAAGTTCCCCCTATCCCTCTTCCTCCTACTCTTCCCAACACACCCCATCTTCTCCTTCTCCCTGTAAACTTGTTCAAATTGTATAGTACATGTAGGAGAGGTAATAGAAAACATGAAAAATTAGTGTAAGGTAACGTTTTGGTGAAGATGTTTGAAATTGGTAACATGCATTTGTGCTTTCTGATTACACATGTGGTTTCCAGTTTTTGACTGCATACTTCCAAAATTTAAAAGTACAAGTCATGTTACAGTTGGCATGAATAAATCCTGAACTGTCCCTGTGACATAACTGTCTATTAACCAATAGCCATGGCTGTTGCGGACCAAAAAACTGATGGCATTGTATCACGACCATTCCCGCGCCATTGGCTCATCAGATGGAGTTTGCTTTTCTCTGATAGTAAAGAAAAGGTTATTGACCTTGATATTACCCAATGTTGGACCACAATGACTTCAATCTGCTGTAACCTAGTGTGCCCTGATTACCCAGACAGTGGGGTTGAAGAAAAAAACTGTTTGGGTTACAGCAAACTAGAGCAAGTTCTGTGCAGACTTTATGTTGACTGCATATGCTAATGATGTTTTGTCAAATGAACTGACCTAAGGACACCTGTTGAAATGCTGAAACCCCAAGACAGTTTTTCTGGTCTAAATTAGATGTACTCCCTGTAAAAGATATGGACACTGAAAGCAAACAAACACAAAAATAAAAAAATATATATACATATATGTGTGTATATATATATACATATATATATATATATATATATATATATATATATATATATATATATATATATATATATATATATTTATATATTATACATACATACATATATATATATATATATATATATATATATATATATATATATATATATATATATATATATTTATGTATATATATATTCATACATACATGTATATATATGTATATATATATGTGTGTGTGT